ACAGATAGCTTTAAGCAACCTCTCTGTAGACTTGTAGGACCAGAGAGCCTTGCTGTTGTATTACATGACTTTCTCAAGCACAAGGAGACACAGCAGGAAATGAGAGGCTCTCAGGCGAACATTGTCAGAGTGACTCTGGGAGGGTAACACTGCACTGTTTGCTTGCACACAGAACTGTCCTGAAGTGGAAACTTAAAGGCTTTTTGGAATGTTGGTTGAAAGGTGTTTTGTTGGGGCAAACATATGAAGAAATTTTTTTGTTAAAGTGGACATAGGTGTGAAAGGCTAAGGCAGGATCGTGAAGGAACATTTCACTAGACATAGAAGAGACATTCTGTTAAAGCGAACAAGTGAAAGGACACATGATGAAAGATTTTTTATTATATATATATATATATATATCTCACGTGATGTTTGGTGGGTATAAGTAGGACTCTACAGAGTGACAGAGGCAGAGCCTGGCTTACTGGTACAGCTAGCTGTGAAATGCTTGTGGGTCTCCTGTCTTCACTGGTCTTCCCTTCCGTGAGAGAGGCACAGCTGAATACTTCTCCTAGTGTTCCTGCTGGTCCCTCCTGCTGACTTGAGCCCAGGCTGAGGCCTGGCTGTCTCTACTAGGTCGTGTCACCACTGTTGCTGACCCAACTTCACCAAACTAGACTACTGATATATCCATAAGGTATTTGCAAGTAAATCTAGCTGCCGCTGCCTACTAACCTGTAAACTGAACTGATGATTTCCAAACAACACAGACAAAAGTTGCTCCAAAGAACCTTTCTAAACAGGTCCACTTCCACCAGATCCTTCCTTTTCTAGTGGGTTACAAGGAAAGTTAAAATGTTTAAAAGCCATTATTAAAAATAAAATTTAAAAAACTTAAAGTTACACTGTCATGAGTTGGAAAGCACCTTTTTATCTGACTCAGACATCACTTTAAAGAATTTTTTAAGTGTATGGGTGTTTTGCCTGCATGTAGCTGTGCAATACATATGTGTGGTGCCTGAAAGGCCAAAAGAGACTATCACGATCCCTGAGACTGGCATTAAAGATGTTTGTGAACCATCATGTGGGTGCTGGGAATTGAACCCAGGTCCTCTGAAAGAGCAGCCAGTGATTTTTAACTGCTGAAGCTCTTAACTGTCATCCTCTGATATTTTACCACAGCTACGTTTCTGAAACATGGGGTAAACCCAGTTCTTACCCCTGATAACTGAATGTAAAATAAACCACCACAGACAAGCACCATACCATCCTAGGACCCTGTTCAACTGTCTCCGTATGTTTACATCAGTAAGAAGTCTCCCATTCAAGTCTCTGTACTGTAGAAATACCCTGCTTTGCCTGTTATCTGCTGCTGTAACACTGGCAGATTGACGAGTTTATAAATGAACTTATTCCTCATGGTTTGGAGGCTGGACAGTTGGGGAGTATGGTGCCATCTGGCAATGCCCTTCCTGCTATAGCTTAACATGTCGGAGGGTAGTACGCTATGTCTCAGCATGACGGGGTAGCATCACACAGTGAGAAAGACAAGCATGCAAACTCAGTTGCTATCTTCTTATAAAACCAGCAGTGACATCATGGAACTACACATCAATCTATCTGCCTCCCAAAGGACTTTGCAACTATCATGGATGTATGGATTTGGGTATTGTGTGTTCAGTGTATCCTCTTAGGGATGGCCACAGTTGCTAGTAAATTCCTTGGGAAATAACATCTTGTCCCTCTATGTTCCTTGTTGAACCTCCAAACACTAGGGCAATACTTTGTATTCACTAGACACTATTTATTGACAATGTATACCATGAATTTTCCAGACTTTTGTTACCGTTTCTTTTGTTCTATGTTGCTTTTCGTTTCAAAGAAATGAGACATAAAGACTATTTTTAAAAGCCATGAATACAGAATCCCGCTCAGTTAGCATTTTGTCTAGGCTCCGCCCCACAGTCATCTGGTAAGAGCTAGGTGTGCCTGACTCAAGATAAAAGAGGCTGCTTGCCCCCTCCACTCTTGCCTTCTTGCTCCCACTCAGTCCTCTTGCCCCTCTTCCCCTCCCCATTCTTCCCCCCCCTCTCCACATGCTCATAGCTGGCCTCTACTCTATTCCACCTCCCTCTCCTCCCCTCTGCCTTTCTCTGTCCCTACTACCCTCTCAACTCCCCTCCCCATGCCCTAAATAGACTCTATTCTATACTATGCCGTCCTGTGGCTGGTCCCTGAATGGGAAGGGATGCCTCAGCATGGGTCTGTAGAGGCAACCCCCTCTCCCCACACCTTACCGCACCTCCATCAAAACATACCCCTTTTCTCTTTATCTTTTTATAAAACACAACACTTCTCGTGGGCAAACCCCTTAGGTTCAATATCGGTCCTTGGTGCAGCTCTGAAGGACGCATCAAAAAGAACTATGAAGGTCCCGCGACTTATGAAACACCATATGCCAACACCCACTGGATCTCCAAAACGTCAACACACAAAAGCTTCTCATACAGATTTTAATGTAATTTGGGAACAGCCCTTTGGACAAGCGCCGGCAATGTTTCCTGTGCAGGTAGTCTGGAAACTTCATCAGCTGAAGGATGACTAGTGAGGGCCCGAGAGGAGGCATTAACTAGGTCAACCCAACCAAAATAACCTTTCAAAGCTCTGCTCTGAGACCACACTCCATTTCAGCGCTCACTGAATGCCTAAACCTATTGGCCTTTAAAGGGTAACTTGTAGCCACTGAAAAATCTTAATAATGCCCATTGTCCTGCGGTAGTTACTATGTTCCCAAAGGCTCCATTGGGCATTTGCACATGTATCTAATTTTCCAGTGTACAAATGAAACACTTAGCTTCATTTATGTAATCCCAGACTACTATTAAAGGGGGTGGGGGATACGTGGAAATCAAGCAGGCTGTATGCTGCTTAGGTCTGGGCTCTTTGGCCATATGTCCTGCTAATTACTCTTTAATACAAGTAAAGCCAGAAAGGGAAAAAAAAAGTCTGTTATGTGAAAACAAAGGAACTTTCTCTTAAATATTCCTTACTTTACAACTAAACTGCATCGGATTTCCTTGCACAGTGAACTTTGATAGTGCATTTAAGAATGGCACACCAACAGCTTCTAAAAGCCAAGTAAGTTTAAGGTTCTGTTTACGGTCGCTTCCTGTGGAATGTACATGGGCTTGGCTCATCATTTACAGATCTCACAGTGACCCCCCACGTGGTGCTGAACCTAGAACCACTCTCAGTGGGTGTCTCCCAGCCAGGATTCTATCCCTCACCCCAGTACTGAATCTGAAGCCCTGGGGTGTAACTTCTAGAATCACCCTTTAAGCTACCAAGGGCTTTCGGTGAGAAACTATGGTTCAGAAGCTATGGTAACACCAAAACTAGCTTTCTGTGAATGAACGGACTGGCGACTTGGAAAGGTACGATGTGCTGAAAGACACACAGCTTGTGCGTGCCACAGTAAGCTGCAGAAGCTAAGTCCTTGTGTCCCTTGGTTCCTTTCACACCAATTCAAACTGCATTTCGTTAAGTTGCACTTACTGCTTTTCTACATGTGCCCCAGCAACTTAATCCCTCGTGTACAGACGGGGAATAATATAGCCAGTGCCTACTTAGGAGTTTCTGTGAGGGTATTACTAAGATAATACTCATTATTTAATATACTTAACAAGGTACCTGGAATACCACACTTACTGGCTAGGATATATATTCCACTGGGGGGTTGCAGGGGAAAACCTGCCTGTTGAACTGAAGAGGATTTCCTGGGCCACTGCAGTTATAAACCCATGATTAATTCTGGAAGTCCAAGAAGATCTTGAATTCAGGGTTAAGATTTAAATTCTTGGTACCTACTATCTCCTTTTGCCAGCCACCACCTACGTCTGTAAAAAGTCCTGAGAATAACTTCTGCGTGGCCTAACTTCATAAACTAGCCCGAAGGTTGCATTGCACTAGAGCCTCATGATAGTGATAATCTACTCTGACAAAAAAAAAAAAAAGTCCCTTCCTCCTCAACTGGAGGAATGCTCCGGGAATGGATAACCCCTGGTATATAGAACCTTGGCCATAGCAAATGACCTCTCAAAGCTTCCCCTGCTATGAGTGAGTCAAGGAGCAGCGTCATCAGGCCCAGAGGCAAACAACAGCTGTGCACAGCTGTGCTGGGTGACCGCTTTGGTTACCCGCTCGACCCCATTCACCACTAAAGAAACAGAAAAGTACAGAAGCGCCATCCACGGATCTCCACAGTGCACACAGTGTGGCTTACGAGGAGCTAAGGTTGACCCCGAAACCTCATTCCCAGGGAGCAAGAGTCAAAGGTGACCCCGAGTGACCCAGCCTGCCCTAGCGGCACCAGAAGGTTAACGACGCTCTTGCTCCGTTTTTCCCAGCGGCGAAAAGCCTCCACCAGCTGCCGGAAGTGTGTCACCCGGTCTGCGGGGATGCCGGGAGTTGTAGTTAGATGGCTAGATCTCTTGCATAATAGTTAAGTTTTCTCAAACAAGAAAAACACCCCGCGGTTCCCGAGAACGAACGCGCTGCTTACTTTCTGCCAAGTCTTAAAAATCCTGGTTTCCCCTGCTCCGCAGGACGCGTCCGTACAGCACGCAGGCGCAGGCTCGGACTACAAATCCCAGCGTGCCTTGCAGCGCTCCCGCCGCGCCCGGCTGTCGTCGCTGGTGTGGGCCGCGTGAATGGAGCTCCGCGCATGAGGCAGCGCCTGGCACGGCCCGCGCAGCGCCTACCTGTGCCCCGAGCGTGAGTGCGGGCAGCGGCCGTGCGCGTGCGCACTCGCCTTCGCGCGCGGGCAAGCGCCCGGACCGTTGGCGCGCTAAGCGGGCGACGGTGCAAGGCGGCCCCCGGGCGCCCCGCCGGCCGGTCGTTGCGGGGCGTCTCCCGCCTGGCGCGGGGGGCCTCGGGCAGCCGTGGCGGCCGCCGGAGACCGCAAGGGGCGACGCAGAGGCGGAACGGGCAGGCCGCGAGCCGCGCAGGAAGCGCCAAGCATGCCCCGCGACAACATGGCCTCCCTGATCCAGCGCATCGCTCGCCAGGCGTGTCTCACCTTCCGCGGCGGCTCGACGGGCACGGAAGGACCGGCCCCGGGTTTCCCGGAGAACCTGAGCCAGCTCAAGAGCCTGCTGACCCAGGTGCGCGCCGAGGACCTCAACATCGCGCCGCGCAAGGCGCTGCCGCAGCCGCTGCCGCGCAACCTCCCCCCGGTCACCTACATGCACATCTACGAGACGGAGGGCTTCAGCTTGGGCGTGTTCCTGCTCAAGAGCGGCACGTGCATCCCGCTGCACGACCACCCGGGCATGCACGGTATGCTCAAGGTGCTGTACGGCAAGGTCCGCATCAGCTGCATGGACAAGCTGGACACGGGGGCCAGCGTGCATCATCGGCGACCGCCGCCTGAGCAGCAGTTCGAGCCCCCGCTGCAGCCCATGGAGCGGGAGGCCGTGCGACTGGGCGTGCTGCGTTCCCGGGCCGAGTACACCGAAGCCAGTGGGCCCTGCGTGCTCACTCCATACCGGGACAACCTGCACCAGATCGATGCGGTGGACGGGCCAGCTGCCTTCCTAGATATCCTGGCTCCACCCTACGACCCGGAGGACGGCCGGGACTGCCACTATTACCGTGTAGTGGAGCCCATCAGACCCAAGGAGGCTTCCGGCTCTGCCTGCGACATTCCCCGAGAAGTGTGGCTCCTGGAGACACCACAGGCCGACGACTTCTGGTGCGAGGGAGAACCCTATCCAGGCCCCAAGGTCCTACCCTGAAGCTTCTGCCGCCCGGGAACTGTGGGCCAAAGATGTACCCTGCCCCACTCAAGAAAAGACCTGGCTGCCCTCTACCTACCATAAAGGGCTCTTCTCTCTTCTGCCCCCTCGCCCGGACGATGGATTTACTGGAGTGACCAGCGCCACATCTTGGGCAACCTTGGGGAGCACGGCCCACGGGAGTACAGACACCACCGGGCACGGTTATGGGGGCGGGTGGGCGGGAGGCTAGGTTGATTCCTGGTATTGCCACCAAGGCTTTGATTTAAGGGAACCGGGCAGGGACCCTAAAGCGCTTCCACCCTAAAGCCATAACAAAAACATTTTTGTTGCTTATTTTCTACAAAATACACTAAGTGGTTTTGAATCCCTCTTCCCTTCGATGACTAAGATTTGTTTTCTCTCCTGACCACAGGACCTAATAGTCCCTAATAGTTTAATTTATTACTGATTGTGCATGACCTTGAATTGTTTTCTGGTTTTGTTTTTTTTTTTTTTACTAGTTTGATTTAAAAAAAAAAAAAACCATACATACTACTGAGCTTCTAAAGAGAGGAGTTCTGAAAAGACATTTTTCTAGTGCTGGGGTTCACCCTCAGAACTATGCGTGTTGAGGACAATTTCGTTCCTCCCCTGGCTTGGTAGCCACTTCTGGTGTACTCAGGTAACCTTTAGTAAGAAGCTCACATATGTCAATTCTCTGTCGGGCCCTTAGAACTCATCTTCCCCTCGAGTCCCAAGAGCTGTCATTTAAACAGACTTGTTGGTTGCTGTTGGGGATTTGCCTTTAAAGCAAAGACTGTATTATCCTCAGCTGACTTTTTTCATCATGTGCTTCAAAGATGATACAGTAATTATGTGTTTTCTAACCAGACGATTCAGAGCAGCTGAATCTGCTGTGCTTCCAAATAACTGAATGTAAAGGCCCTGGCCACCTGTTGATTTCCATACTTCCAGCTTCTTCCTATGAAAGAAGAGAAAGATACTCTGGCTGTCTGTTTGCATTCTCCGAGGAACCTGTAGAGGAGCTGTGGTTCCAGCTTTGTTGCTGGGGAGAGTGTCCCAGCATTCCCTTCAACAAGAGCCAGTGCTATACTAACTGCCTTCTCTTGCAGGAAGAGGTAGAAGGCTTGTGGTACCCTGGGAGAGGCTCTGGATGTAGGCTGCTTGTTAAGCAGGCAAGAAGCTCTGTGCTCAATCCTCGGTACCACATAGACCAAGTGTAGTACACACCTATAGCTCCATCATTTAGGAAGTACAGGCAGGAAGGTCAGAAGTCAAGGTCAGACTTGGATACATAGTGAATTTGAGCAGAACCTTGGATGCATGAGACACCGTCATATAAATGTGTGTGTGTACATTGATATGTATAAATATGTATGTATACACACACATGTATATGTAATGGATACATGGAAGAGATGATTGAGAATTTAGCCATTTAGGGCACCAAGATTGGAGAATAAACCCTATGCCAACTCTTGCAGCAAACCCTAGAGCTGCTGCAGCATTATGGCTGGCTGAGGCTCAGCCCCTTTACTGTGTTTACAGATGTGTTGACACTATCGATTCTGGCCATGGACCACCAGTTTTCCCTGTTTACTATGTATAGGGTTCCTTTTTATCACAGGCCTTTTCATAAAGACAAACTGTAGAAATCAAATGTGCCCAGCTGTCTTCTAAGCCCTCTTGATGGCTCATGTGGCAATAGAATATAATAATATTGGCAATAAATGGAGACTTACTATCACGGGTGGCAAGTGTTTGTTGACCTGTTAGGGAAACTGCTTTTGACTCCACGTATCCAGGTTACACATCCAGACTGGTCCCAGTGCAGTCGTTAAGGTGGTACGAGATAGCAAATTACTGATGGCTTGGCCTGTGGCTTTTTGTTTCACTTTAATAAAAATGAAAACAAGCCAGGATCAACACCCAAGCATTTCTACCAAGGCTGCTAGCGTTCAAAGTTCTTTCCGATCATGTTCTCTAAAATATATTTGAATCCTGGTGAAGCAGCTCTTTGAGCCACTCGTTTGAAAATCTAGATAAGAAGTGATGGTTTTAAATGTGACTCTTTTCATAGAATAATAATGAGTGTGGTTTTCAGCCACATACAGACTTTGGATTGCTGCAAAGGTTGATTCATTTACAAAGATTGTCAAGGGTCATGTGTACTTTACAGCATACTCTAGGGGTACTTTAATGGGTCCTGTAGAAATATAGCCTGGAACCAGGCTAGTAATAAAAATTATTATGAAGGCCTTCGTTGCAAAAAAGGAGGGAGACATGCTAAAGGTTTGTTACAAGCAGTTTGGAAGGAAAAAAAACTAAGGTGCTTTTTAAAAGATTAACGAAATTGTTCTGAGCTAAAACAGCAATACTGTGTTCCTCACTAGTTCAATAAGAACAGTGAATTTCACTAATACACTAATTAAATTTACGGTGAAAACAGTAATATGTTTTAATGAGCCACTTGAGAAAGAATATGCTCATTACTAAGATAAAATGTGCAGAAAAATCCTTGCACGTCTATGCATAAACTGTTAGCTATAAGTTCTGCTGTTGTGTTTCCCCGTGGGTCTACAATATAGACTGTGGTCTAGAAATTGGGATAAAAGTTACCTTCTCCTTTTCTTGGGAAAGACCTATGAGCACAATGGTGTTAGTCACTTAACTTTTCTGACCAATAATAAATGCAATAACTAGCTCCTGGGTGAGAAGCTATCTGTCTGTCTGTCCGTCTGTCTAAATACTCTTGAAGCTTTTCAACTTCGTAGTTCTATCAGTGATCTATCGATGTAAGATTTTCATGCCTTCCTGCTCCTTTGAGAATTGATGGGTTTACTGCCACATGCTGCTGATTACATAAAAAAGCCTGCCTTTTAGGTAATGTGTCTCCTATGTCAATAAGAGTGAGTTCTCTGAGTTTTTATCATGACTAGAATCCCATTGTCAAAATTCCTTTCCTCCCCCACCCCCTTGCATTGTCTTATAGGTTCCTTGAACTTGACATCTGGGGAGAACCTGCCTGCTCCTATGACAAATGAGTCAACTGCTTTAGCTCTCCTGCCTGGCAGAGAAACGGTGTCCCCCCACTTCAGAGCTCTGCCACTATCCTGACCGAATTTATTCCTATACCGGCAGGCCTGAATTCAGAGCTTAGGGTTACATAAAACCCAGATTGGTCCATTGCACTGAGGTGTCTTCTGTCAAAGGAGATCATTTCCTAACGATACCCAGTCTTTCAATGCAAGGGTATTTACGTTTCTGAGTAAAATCTGTGTACTTATGGGAAATAAAGGCATGTTAAAAATTACGTAGACATAATGTTGCTTATTGCAAAGTGGAGAAGGGAAACATTACTGTGATAACTATTTTGGTTATTGTTGGAAGCTCACAGTTTATTCCATAAGGTGGTATGGTACCAAAAGCCAGAGACGAAGCAGTGGTATAAACTTAGTTTGTTTTCTTGAGAGTGGTCTTTGAAGCAAGCCGACTGAAAACACAGCTGAGATTATTTAATGTCTCTTTACACTATTTTGCTGTAACCGAAAAGGCTGCTTTTGTATTTAACATAACAAAGTCAACTTTTATACTAAAAGGAAAAAAAAATCTTAAGGCTTAAGTGCTCCCTTTGTTGTGTTGTCTTACTATTTTGATGGTTACCATTTGGACTGGCAGCATTTTAGGTGTCTGTGTCTACCTGCCTCCACACACATAGTCAAGTGTTTGTTAACAGTTGAAACAACTTCCATAAAATAATTTGCCTTGATCGAATTCAACAATTAGGATACAGAAATTAAATAACCTGGATTGAGAAAGTTATTTAGGTTTCACCAGCTGTTTGTTATACAAATCAAACCATCTCAGGCATGAATCTTTAAGGACTCACTGCACAAAACCTACCTGAAACATTCTTCAGGGCAGGGTGGAGGGGAGGAGAGTAAAAGAGCCAAATTTACCTTTCTGTGGTGATTTCTTAGATTTTTTTTTTTTTTTTGAAAATATTGTGAGAATCGGCCTGAATGCTTTTAAGCCAGGAAAGTGGGTTAAAGATACTGACTGACCTGGTATGCAAGTATCTGGGCGCAAAAGCCGAAAGGGTGGCCCTGAGCATGCAGGTGTATTAAATCTGGTGACTTGTTGCGGGGGTTTGCTACAGCACCAGCCTGGAACTGATTACGTAACCAGTGTGCATAGCATGGAGAGTTCTTCTTGTCTCATTCTTTAGGTGATGTTTAGTCTTTTTAGTCCTGGCTTGGGTGATCTTGATTGAAGGTGATCCAAAATTTAAAATTTTAAAGATGGCTAAAAAGTGTACAAAATTTAGCTGTACAAGATCTTTAAATGATGAACGTTTTACAGGAGAGAGCTATTTATTTCCAAGTGACCACAATATGGCATTGCTTTATAGTTGCCAATGGTGGATAAATAACAATAATACTCTTGACAGCTGGCAAGCCGGAGCCCAGTGGGAAATTCTAAGGAAAACATCCCACACTAAAGGTTTTGAAATCTCTTGTTCAGGAGTTCTGGAAAGAAATTTCTACATCGATGAAAGGGGGATAAAAGAAGGAGATTGGGGAGAGGGGTGGTACTAGTTGCCTCCATAAATTTTGTCTCCGATCCTTGTGCTGTTCAAGGGCCAAAGATGTGACCACTACTCTAAAATGCAAGCCCTTGATTAGGAATTTGGGTCCCTTCAGCCCGAGGGACTTTACAGGGACCAGAAGCAAGGGAGGGCTTTTTGTTGGGGCGGAGCAGTGACTACACCAGCAGATTATATTGCCTAAGAAGCAGTGGACATTGTAAGTATTTAGGTCCCGATTTTCAGAGTAAAGATGCTAACAAACATGCTCTGTTTGCTTTGTAAGACAAGTGGGTAGGTCAGGTTATTTTGTGTTTAAAAGAAAAAAACAAAGTTCCCAGTAAAGAAACCTTTGAGTTTTATAATCTGGTATCTTGGGAGAGGCAACTTACCTAGTAAGTTTGGATTGCCTTGAAGTTTTACAGCCCCATGTTCACCTATCTTAAGCTATTTAGAGAATCATTTCTAGGTGCACCAAGTTTGTGACAAATGGTCCCTCCAAACACGAGCAACCGTCTGAGACACCAGGACCGGAGAGAAATGAGTCCTGGGGTAATTCCTGAAGCCACCTCATTAATGTTGGCATCAGCAGTGTCTGAGCAGTGTTGATCAGAAGGGATGATAGCTCTTTGA